TGTTACACAGCAAAGGAAAAATATTCACAAAGGCTGTTAAGTGTTGTGGACTAAACTTTATTACATGTGGAACATAATCATTAGAGGAATTACAGTTCAGTCATAGTAAAATGAAATGCTTAAAAGGTATTTACTGTGAGAGCTTTCCAGTAAAAAGTCTTGTATACTAAAATGGTGAACTCAACTCTTTGTATCTCTCTAACTATACTAGAGATAGTTGTAAAGTGAAAGCTGTGAAATTTTTTTTTGCTGTCTGTATGTCATGAAAGACCCAAATGGTTTCTAAAATGTACAGTCACAAACTGATTATAAAATTCCCAAGGGGACTCTGATGGGACTATCATAACTTAACAATGGAATTGTGAGTCACTGCAGGAGAAATTAATGTAATATTTTCTAGTATTTATAGGACCAGGAGGATAAAATGTCATTTAATTTTATTTGATTAAAAACTAGTAAGCAAAAGAGAAAGAGGAAGAAAAAAACGATGCCTCTTTTATTTCAGGCATGAAAGATGGATGGTATATATAAGAAACATTCTGAAGCAGGATATTACAGTGATTAATTTAAAATCTGATAAATGCTCCAAAATGATCATGTTAATATCATAATCATTCTATTTGATAAATTAAGGCGATAGGTTTTTTTTTTTAGGTTCTAGATGCAAAGTGTAGCTTTTGAGTGGAACAACTAGATTATTGAATATGAATTGAATCAGAGCTGTGTCCTCCTGTATCTAGTGCTCTTAGGTTAAAGATAATTTCTTAAAAGTTTGGTTGGTTTGTGCTGTTTCTTTCAGAAAGGACAGTGGAATTCAGTAAGCATGTCTGCATTGCTAGTGTTTATTTTTGGTTTATTTTCAAGATCTTCTCTATGGTTCATTAAAAAGCAAGCATGTGTAAAGGGCTTGTCAAGCTTGAAGTTTATCAACTTTAAAATGAATGAAAGCAGAAGCAGATATCTGTGAGGAAAGGTAAGACTGTTAAACAAAATACAAGTATTCTTCAATGAGCTATAAGATCTTCAGAAAATTCATCTGAAAATAAAAATCCCAGTGTTACGTATTGCTTAAAAAAGCAAAATTGTCTGGAGATTTGGCAAAAAAGGTACCTAAGAATTTTTTCATTTTCTGCTGTTCAAACATCATGAAACAAAGGACTTTCTCAGAGTATAGAAATGCTGGTGAGAGAAGGATTGAAGCTGTTCAATACTTCCTAGATGTGACCAAAGAAGAGTTAGAAGATAAACAGACATGCAAGAAATAAACAAGCAGTTAAGCATATTAGTGGGAAAAGACTGTTTTCTGGAAACTCTTCTTACTAGTGAGTTTAAGCGGAATAAAATTACTATTCCAAAGTATTTTATTTTAAAGATAGAAGTAGCTCTTCTGACACTTCCTCTACCTTCTGTGACTCTTCCTGCCAACACCACAGGTCTCTTTCAGGAAAGAAAATCGTGATGTTTTTTGAAAATTTTCATCCTAGTTTTCTAAATGTGATAAAGAATAAGAGCATTTGTTTTTTTTTAATGAAGCCAAACAACCAAACCCAACCATGAAGACGTGACTCATGCTGATTAAACTTTTTTTCCAAGAGGAATTATGATGTAATTTAGATTGGTTTTGACTGTAATGTGTTGCTGCAGAATAAGTGCAATCCTAAATGGCACTTGGGAATCCTGTGATTAAGTTTTTTGTGTGCATTTCTGAGTGGGTTAATCTTATGCAAAAAAAAACCAAACAAAAAAAGGTGGTTTTAATTTTCTGTTGCTCCTCCACATATTTCTAAAGGGATTTTTCAAAATGGATTTCCCTACAGAACTAGAATATAAAAGTTAGAGGTCTGTTTATTGCTTATGTACATTGCTTCTGGTAAGGATTATGTGGAAATAACTTGAGTGGAAATCAAAGCATAACCAGATATATTTCCAGATATACCCTGGAAATTTGAAAAGTAATTTAAGAGGATTTATATATTTTCTAGAATTCATTATCATCTTTGCAATTTTCTAAGCTAAATACAAAGTTAAAAATTACATTTTTATATTAATAATTTTCATTGAAGGGAGATAATAAAAAAAGTAGCTAATTCAATATCCCACCCAATAGCCAGTATTGGAGTTTTCTGAGTGTAGAAGAAGTAACAGTGCAATGCAAAGAAAACCCAAACTGATTGGAATCTTTGTCATAGGAGAGCTTCTCTGAATCTTAGTGGTATGTGAGAATATAAGAGAACATGCTTGGAATTTTTAGCATATGCAAGTATATTTAAAATCTAGTTAAATTCTTATATTCAGTTGTGTTAAAAAAGCAACCACATTTTTTAACTGTTTTGGTTTTTGTGTTTATATATTGATTTCAATGAGTATACTTTTGTTTTTGTTATGGTGGAAGATAAATCAGAATGCTTAAAGGGATTGTGGGAGCATTTATATAGTATGGGTGGTATGTCCTCTATAGCATAGTTTTGCTTTATAGATACCGCTTACAAAAAAATTCTGGATCAGTGCTTTATTTTTACATATGAGTGATGCAATTTAATACTGGGTGATCACCCAACTAAATTTTGTTTCCTTCATTAACTTTGTAAAATATTGTAGGAAACCTTTGCTTCTAGAGTATAAGCTTAGGAAACATGATAGTACAGCACAAAGAAACTGTATTGAATAATGCAGCCACAGTAAATAATATAGCCACAGCAAAGTTATATTATTAGTCTCATAAGTTTTTTTTCTTTTTTTGGTTTTTTTTTAAATTTTCATGTATAAGTCTTTATGTTTTCTAATAAACTAATTAGTCTAATGTTTCTGGAAAAATGTTTGAGTCTTTATTGGCTTTGAATTTCTGTTCTTACCCAATGAAATTTGTGGTTGAATCTTAGATCTTTCAAGAGTTAAATTGGAAAATTTCACTTAAAAGGTGCTTACCCTTGGGGTGTATAATTTGTGAGAATAAGTTTAGCTCATATTAATATCTATTTAATATGATTGTAGCTGATAAGTAGTCTTCAAAACCTATTTCACATAAAAAATAATCTGAGAAGTGGAAAAAAACACCCCATGCAGATATTAATATTGAAGTATATGAAGAATTTGTTCTTCAAGTTTAGCTTGAGTTTCCCCCAGTCAACAGAGGTCAGTTCAATCAACTGAGAGAAAAGACATATGGGAATACCAAGGTGCAGAGAGTAGGTCACATTTGTACTTTGGTTTAGATACATTGTCATAAAAGCAATAAAAATCCTTTTCTTTCTGTGCTCCAGTATGCTTTTCCTAGACTGTAGAATTATAGATTGTTACTTAGTAATTTGAAAAGAAAATATTTCCTAAGTGGAATTGCAGTCATACAAGCACTGCATGGCTAAGTGAAGAGCCAGTTCTTTCTGTCAACAGAAATAGTTCCTGACTTTGAATCCGTCAAGTACCAGTGTTGTTAGGCCTAAGGAGGAAGGGGCATAAGGCAGCTTCTGGAAACACTACTGCTCTTTTATAGGTAGAAGAAGACTTAACACAGCATTAAGCTGTACTCATTTTCTCCCCTTAATGGGCTTATGTAGCCCAACTTAGCGTGGTCCAAGGTGGCTGACTGTGTCCCAAGTCACTGTTTCTTTGGAAGGTCTCAAGAGCAAAGCCTGTGGGTCAGCCTGTTGGTCATACAGACACTGACTATAGAAACACCTCTGGAATGAACCTACAGAGCCTGCAGAGCTGTCAGGAGAGCAGTGTTCACCTTTCCAGAGTCTCAGTCAGCTGCCTTTCTTCTTCTTCCTTCCTTTCTCAAGCTGGGACCAATTGGAACCTGCTCACCAGTGTGGGACATATATTGAGAAAGTAAGAAAATTACAGCCTGAAAAATATTCTAGGCTGGAGTTTTTCAGCTCTGTTCCCAGCCAATAAGCTGGTCCAGCTCAAGGCTAGGGCGAATTTCTCCCAGGATGATAATTTAGTCAAAATAAAAAAGAATTAATAACAAAAATAAAACACCTGTTGTAGTACATGACCAGGCCCTGGAAATGGGGTGTCTTCTCTCTGAACCAATCACCTTTTCTCTACTCTTGGAGTTGCAGTCATGCTATAAAACCAAGTGTGTTTCTGAATAAACTCGGCCCTTTCTTCCTGTCATGAAAGATGACCATGTAGCTGTGCATCTTATTTCTGCCACACTTAAAGGGTTAAAACCCCTTTCCACAGCTACACACCAGTTCTTTGGTCTCCTGCCTTTGCAGGCAAACTGTTTGCTCCAGCCATTCTCCTCCATGATGTGGTTGGAAGTCAGCAGCCTTTTCCAGTCATTTTATCTCCATATGAAGTTTGATGTCACAATCACCTTTCCCAAGTATGAGATAGAAGGTGGGTTTTTTTCTTTTGGTATTGTGGTTACTGCGCTGCAAAGAGAGAGAAAGGACAGCAACACACACGGAGCTCTTGGGGGAAAAAAGGCCAATTTATTGTACAGACAGCCCGGATTTAAAGTGTGTTACTGCAGCCAGGACAGGACAGGAGCTCATTGGACAATTGGGAAAAACATCCTTGGGACAGCACCTCAGGATGTGTCCCACGGGAAAGACACCAGGGGTTAATGTTGGTGATGAATTCCACTCTGTTTGTCACCATGTTCTCACCCTGGGAGACTCCTCCCTAACTGAAGCTGCAGTCAGCTTGTCAGCCTGGGAATGGAGCTGAGAGTCAGGAGAAATCCAGGCCTGGAAAGAATTCCCCAGCTCTCTAAATGTGTGTGCCCACAGGTATTATTTGGTTTTTTTATTTGTTTGCTTGTGGGTGTTTGGTTTTGCTGTTTTGTTTGTTTGTTTGGATATTTATTTTGGTAAAAGAATGTTCTAACCTAATTGCAATTCTGCACAAAATACAAAAATATTTCCAAAAAGGCAAAGGTATATTTTCCTCTAGTACATGAGAGAGATTATCAAAATAAGTTTTAAATAAGTTTTTTAATCAGTTTCTCCCTGCTGTAAGGTAAAAGGAGTTTGTGTTTTCCCTCAAAGCTCTTCCTGGATATGACGTTTGGAGCAGGCGGGCACACCACAGCTCTGCTGGAGAGCGCTGGCGACATCAGGGTGCTGGCCCTGGACAGGGACCCCACAGCCTACAGGATAGCTCAGCAGCTCACACATACCTACCCGTGAGTCGGCTCCTCCTGTCTTACAGATGGCTGCTACTTTGGGGTTTTATATGGAATTTAATGTATTTTTATAGTTGTTCATAACTTCTTCTAGAATAGCATTCTGTGCTGTATGTACCCTGTTAAATTGGAGATCCAGTTCAATTTGTTTGTGAAGCATGCAGTTTCTTCTTAGGTTTTTGGAGTTAAATATGTGTTTTGTAGTTTTAATTTTAAGCATGCATCAAGTTGCTAATTTTATATTTAAAAAAGATTCATGTGTTCTGCTTGCCTTGAGATGATTCTGATTTCAAAGTAGCACAAAAGCATATCTTTGTGGTACGTATTTCACAAAAAAATTATGGAATAATATGTTTTGAAATAATTAGGTAATTTAAATGTGGATTATGAATATTTTAATTAAGAAAAACCTCAAAATAATTGTAATTCAGTATTAGGTTTGGTAAGTATTTTGCCACTGGCTTAAAAAGCTACTGAACAATTTAATAAGCTATGATTTCTGTGTATAGCTCGTGCTTCAATTTTCTTTTTAAATAAGAGTGCTGAATTTGCTAAATGAACAATTGCTAAGTGCAAAATTTATAGTTATGCAAAGTTCTTGTTCCTTTCTTTAATTCAAGAAAGAACCCAGTCAGAACATCAGTTCATTTGTGCAAAAGTGTGCAATACATAGAATTGAATATGGACTTTTCAGAAAATCAGATTTTCAGATCTGACCAAGAAGAAAAATATGTAGATAAAAAATTAATTAATGTGTACTAGTCAAGACTTAAGAAATATATAAGGTAGTAAGGAGACAATACACACTGTCATGTTGAAAACACTATTTCAAAAGACCTTTAATATGAAGAAAAATAAGTATTTCCAATAACAAATCTGGAACAGGAGATAAAAAAACACCTGGTTGTTCAGTCATATTTTCCCACATGAAAAGAAGTTCTGAGGCAGCAGTAATATTTAATCAATACAGAAAGTATTCGAAGTTTTCTAGTTTTTCAAGTTTTCTAAGACAAAAAGCTAAACTCTGCATTCCTTTCTTCAAGTGTGTTTGACAGAGACCCAGTGGGAGAGATGCAAGCATGAGTCAGGACAGCAGAGCTGTTTCTAGCCATCCTACTCTGTAAAACCACTTACCAATATTTCTTTAAATTTTCAGTTCTTTTCGGGCTAAAGTGCCATGCAATATGTACTTAGAAATTTGTGGAATTCCTCTGTCCACTGTTATTTCTGCAGAGAATTCTTTTTGACGGAATCCTGTGGAGAATATTGTCAAGGAAAGTCCATTTTCTTTTAAACTAAGCCTGCAAACATGTTCTGCCAAATGTCATGGGAGTTGTAAGGTCTTCTGTTCTCTGTGTCATAGAAAGAAACCAGTCTTTTAGAAACATTCACACAATGTAAAACAATAATAAACAATCCTCTGACTCGATATAAGTTTATCTGAAAGTATCCTATGCAAACCTGGATGTGCAAAGTTTATTTTCCAGATAGATAAAGAGATTTTCCAAGTGTTGGGTGGTCTTCTGTCCATAATTGACATTGATAATTTTCTGCTTGCTTAGAAAAGATGAACTTTGTATAGCAGTTGATGTAACTTATTATGGTTTAATAGACAAAGGAGGTTTCCCCTTTCTTATTTTTGATGGTGGTATCTGCCTTTATGGATGCAAATTATCCTTAGAATGAAGTGGATTCTTAAAAATATAGTATTGGTGAAAAGTCCTGATCATTGAAAGATGACTGCATGTCACCTGGATATGTATTGTGGGTTACAGAGCCATATTCTTACTTGCTCTGGTGTTTTCCTTCATTTTCTATCTTTCCTATTAGAAAGAATAGGTGAGTCCTTTTTCATAAGGTAAATATTATATTTTCTTACAATACTTTGTGCTAAAATTTATGGCAAAAGAATATTCTTTATGTGCTCATTATTAATCTGCTTTCCCTGGAAAGTCAGTTGCATAAACCATTGTCAAATAGAAAGGAGGTATAAGGATGTAATTTATAAACAGGTAAAGCTGGTGTTTGCTTACAAATCAGCTGAGTATAAGGGATTTACTTCTGAGATATGGAACTTTTATAAATGGATTTTTTTCAGTATTCATTAAAAGATAGTTGGTCTAACATTATGGGATTTTATTATCTATTTTCTGCACTGTGTTAGAAATAAACCTTGTATCAGTTCAATAAATATCTGTGTGGGCATCAAAAGCTCAGGGAATGCATCCAGTTGACATCTATGTCTGGTCAGGTCTATTCTCAGGTTAAATAGTTGCCTGGCTCACCAGGAAGCCACAGAAATAGTTGTGCTGTCTTAAAAATGGCAATGGCAGCATGCAGTTAAATCTAAGAGAAATGTAGGGCTACCCTTTCTGTAAGAAGCAGAGCCTTAGATGTATCTCACTGAATAACTGCAACACAAAAGTATAAGCATCTTCCACTTTCTTCTGTTCCTGCCTTTTTCCCACCTCTTCTGTTTAGCACTGCTGTTTAGGGAGAGGTTATTTGACTTGCTGAAGTGGTTCATTTGCTTTGGAGGTGACAGCACAAAGTTGGGGAAGAGGCTGTTGTGTAACCGTAACCAGTAAATCTGATTCCCACTGGCTGAAACTGTGAATGCAATGGGCAAACTGAAAGTCATACTTCAACTGAATTTTCTCTTGCCATTTTTGTCCTACTTGAACCAGAATAATGCATATGTTAATTGTTATTGCTTATCCTGGTTAGATGACAATAATCTTAGTAAAATCATACAGTTCCAATTGTTATTCACTATGTACCTTTGTTTGTTGATGTAATCTTTTCGGATTTCAATAAAATTTTTGATATTATGGACAAAACGCCCATTCCACAGCTGGATAAACACACCATCATGCAGTGGGTGAGCACCTGGCTCACAGGTTGGGCACAGGGAGCTGTGCTGAATGGGGTGACATCAGGCTGGTGAGTGTCAATAGAGGGGTTCCACAGGGCTCCATCTTCAGCCCTGTTGTCTTCAGCATCCTGGTAAAGGGCTTGGGTGCAGGACTTGACAAAAGTGGAAGGAGCTGCTGATTTCCTGGAAGGCAGAGGGGCTCTGCAGAGGAATCTGGACAAGTTAGAGGGCTGGGCAATCACCAGTCATAGGAAGTTTAACATGGGTAGTGTGAGGGACTAAACTGTTAGTGGTGAATGAGTCAATCAGCCATTTGTGGAGGCAGTAGGTGCTTTGCTGATGATGTGCATGGTAACAGACCAGGTGCAGAGAGCATGAGCACTAGAGGATGACCATGACAATCCCACCTTTTTTTATCAAGAATCTGGGTTGTGAGTCTGATAAGAGGGCAATAAGAAGTAGATTCTGCAAGGCCAAATAGTGCTTTTTTATCACAGCAGTGTCCTCCCTTACATGTCAACTAGTGGACATAAAATTGCAGCAATCGAGTCTTGGTGGTGGATCCAAAAAGTGGTGATATTTTTCTTTTTTTTCTTTTCCTTATACATTTTTAAGTGTTATGTTTGTGCTTTTATGTTATTGTAGATAATAGTAACCAAAACGGCTACAATACCTCCTTTTGATAGCAGCCAAATTCTTATAAAATACACTATACATATATGTTTATATATATATATATATATATATATTTATTTATTTATATAAATAGATGTAGATAAACATTGGTCATGCAATGTCATCCACCCCAAAGGATCACAGAATTAACTAGGAAATTAGTCTTGGAAAAGGTCTTTTCCAGCCTAGAATTAACTAGGTTAGAAAAGACCTTTGAGATCATCAGTTCCAACCAACATCACCTTATTAACTAAACCATGACACTGAGTGCCACATCCAGTCTTCTTTTAAACACCTCCGGGGATGGTGACTCCACCACCTCCCTGGGAAGCCCATTCCAGTGCCCAGTCACTCTTTCAGTGAAGAATCTTTTCCTAATGTTCAGCCTAAACTTCCCTTGGCACAGCATAAGACTTCGTTGTCTCATTCTGCCAGTGGTTGCCTCGGAGAAGAGACCGACCCTCACCTGGCTACAACCTCCCTTCAGGTAGCTGCAGAGAGTGATAAGGTCACTCCTGAGTCTCCTTTTCTCCAGGTTAAACAACCCCAGCTCCCTCAGTGGCTTTTCACAGGGCTTGTGTTTGAAATGCCTCACCAGCCTTGTTGCCCTTCTCTAGATGTATTTGAGCATCTCAACGTCCTTCCTAAACTGAGGGGCCCAGAACTGGACACAGCACTCAAGATATGCCTAACCAGTGCTGAGTACAGGGGAAGAATGACCTCTCTGGTCCTGCTGGTCACACTATTCCTGATCCAGGCCAGGATGCCATTGGTCTTGGCCACCTGGGCACACTGCTGGCTCATGTTCAGTCTGCTGCCAATCTGTGCCCTCAGGTCCCTTTCTGCCTAGGCACTGTGTCCCCAGCCTGGAGTGCTGCAGAGGGTTATTGTGGCCAATGTGCAGGACTTGGAACTTGGACTTCTTAAACCTCAAGTTATTGGGCTTGGCCCGCCTGTCCAGGTCCCTTTGCAGAGCCCTCCTACCTTCCAACAGATTGGCACTCATTCCCAGCTTAGTGTCATCTGTAAATTTACTGATGGAGGACTCAATCCCCTCATCCAGATCATCAGTAAAGATATTAAACAGGACTGGCCCCAACACAGATCCCTTGGTGCCACCACTGGTGACTGGCCACTGGCTGGATGTGGCACAGTTCCTAACCCAGCACAGAGTGCTGCTGTCCAAGCCATGGGCTGCAGCTTTTCCAGGGAATGCTGTGGGAGACAGTGTCAAAGGCCTTGCTGGAGTCCAAACAGACAACATCCACAGCCTTTCCTGCAACCACTGGGAGGCCACCTGGTCAGAAAAGGAGATCAGGCTGGTCTGGCCCCTCCTAAATCCACGCTGTCTGGCACTGATCCCTTGGCTGTCCTGTACGTGCTGTGTGGTGGCCTCAAGGTGATCTGTTCCATTATCTTGCCAGGCACCAAGGTCAGGCTGACAGGCCTC